TCTCATTATTCCTCGGCGAGCACGGCGGGGCCAGCTCCCGGCTCCCGCGCCGGCCCTTCATGGGAATTTTTGGAAAATGATGTCTGCAATGTTCTGACCTTTGCCGTCCCAGCTGCAGCCTCCTCCTCTCTGCAGGGATCCCACACTTGACTCCTTAGCAACCTCCTTTGTGCCTCTGATCTCTCTCCATTTCTCTGGTAATAGCCCTTGGCAGCGGGACTTGTTGTTCCTTGGTGGCTGGAAAAGGCAGGAGCCGCCGGTGCCAAGGGTTCTGCAGAATCCCTTTCACCCACTGCTCGCAGCGCTGCCCTCAGAGCCCCCCAGATGCTGCTGGTGGCTTCTCTGAGGGGCTTTTTGGGGGATTTGATGGAGGGAAACAGCAGCAAATCAAAGGAAGCAAAGTCAGCCCCAAGGAGCTCTCCAGCGGGGTTTCTGCCCCACTGCGGGGTTTTGTGGATGTGGTGGCTCTGGTTTGGCTCTGGGCAGGTTCCCCTGAGCTCCTTCAGGTCCCCCTGAGCTCCTGCAGGTCCACCTGAGCTCCTTCAGGTCCCCCTGAGCTCCTGCAGGTCCACCTGAGCTCCTGGGGCCACCTCGGAGCCCCTCTGTGCAGGAGGCAGCAGGCAGGTGGGGCACCTGGATCATGGCAGAATCATGGGGTGGAAAGGTCCCTCGTGGGCAGGGACACCTGCTGCTATCCCAGGTTACTCCAAGCTCCATCCAGCCTGTCCTCAAACCTTTCCAGTGATGGAGCATCCATCCAGCCTGTCCTCAAACCTTTCCAGTGATGGAGCATCTATCCAGCCTGTCCTCAAACCTTTCCAGGGATGGAGCATCCATCCAGCCTGTCCTCAATCCTTCCAGGCATGGAGCATCCATCCAGCCTGTCCTCAAACCTTTCCAGGGATGGAGCATCCTCAAACCCCTCCAGGGATGGAGCATCCTCAAACCCCTCCAGGGATGGAGCATCCTCAAACCCCTCCAGGGATGGAGCATCCTCTCTTCTCATGGAAAGAGCAGCAGGAATGTGAATTCAGTGGGGTTGGTGGGAACATCAGGTGCAGCTCTGGTTGTCACCTTTGGCTTGCTGCTGTCACAGGTGTAGCTGTGTCACCTGCTCCCTGTGGGACTTTCCCTGCAGAACAGAAAATCTGGGATCCAGCTCATCCTTCCTGCACCACGGACCTTGATCCATCAGCAGGGAGGGAGGTGGGGAAGGTCTGGAGTCCTGGGGCTCTGAGGGGTTTTAGAACCCCAGCTGAAGTTGGTCTTGTTGGATTCCTTGGATTTAGGTTCTCCAGGAGCTTCTTCCAGCCCTGCCCTATAATCCAGAAATGGTTTTATTTTTAGATTTCACCTTGGGAAGCTCCTTCCTCTCCCACGAGCTGGGGTGTAAATTTGTCTCAGAATACCCTGGTGAGGGTTTGGCTTTCACAGAGATGGTGAAACCACTTTTCCTGTGGGTAGCAGAGGTGGGAAGTGCACGGAGCTGGGATTTTCCCTGGAAGCTTTCCTTATTTATAGCAGGAGCAAAATGAAAATCTAGAATTTAGTTGGGAACTTTGGGTGGGTTTTTGCCCATCTTTTGTACAGCAAAAACACAGAAAGGTCTTTAAATTGACTCTAAATTTATAACGTGGGTGCCCCATTCCCCACCCTTCCCTCTGGAGCCGGGATCAATAGGGAATTTTGCAGACATAGCTTGAGTCACCAAGCTTTTGCTCAGCTTCCCGTGCTATTGGCCTGTCTGTACCATTTTTTTCAGAATTAATTTTGGGCTGAAAAAGTCTCAAAGAAGTGCTTTGTTCCTCCTTGACACTCACTCCAGGGAAAAAAGAAAAAAAGAAAAAAAAAAAAAGAGAAAAAGGAAAAAAAAAAAAGCCGTGGAAAATCTGACATCTGCATTGTAGAGAAAAATCAATAGATAGGGAGGAATATAATTATCCCCCACTCCTGAAGGAATTTTTCAGATATTTTTTGGAACAGTGACTCATATGGGCTTAGGGCTTGAATGACATTTTAATTATTCTGGCTTTTTTTCGCTTTGAATCACCCAAGTACAGCAGGCTGGAAGAGGCACAGTTGGGCACAGCCATCACAGGAAGATGAAAGGACAGGATTTGGTGTTGGAGCTGAGCTCTTCCCTCCCCTCAGGTGGGGGCTGGATCTCTGGTGGATCCCCCTGGATTCTGTTTTCCGTTATCCTATAAATTTGGGAACGCTTACCATGCTTTGGGAATGTTTTATTCCATATTCCAGAGCAGGGCTGGTGTGGGGGCAAAGCGATTAAACCCAGGAATTTTATTATCCTCCATTAAAGTAAATCCAAAAAAAAGGAAAATCCTAAATGTAATTTTCCTTGTCCTGTCAGAAATGCTGCTGGATTTAATTCCCCTTCATTAATTAGAGGAATTTGGAGTTTGGGGTTTTCCAGGTCCAAGCAGGTGCTGCATCTCCATCCTGCCCCCAGCTCCTCGGCCGTGCCCTACAGGGAGCAAACCGGGCAGGGGAGCAGGAATTGAGCCCATATTTCATTCTGGAGCTTAATTCAATCCAGGGCCAACATTTTCTACTGCTCCTGCTGTAAATTCCTGTGACAAGGACCTCAAGTTCCCCTTTCCCAGGCCAGGAGCTCTCATTATCCCGAGGAGCCGGAGTGCCACCGGTGCCCGACCCCGTGTCCCTGCAGCCACCAGCCAGCAGTGGGAATTTAATAATCCCGGATTCGGAGCGAGGCCACGGAGGTGAAAGGGCCTCTGCTGGTTCATTTGGCCACCTGGCTGCTTGCCTTGAGCTCAGATTTAATTTGTATTCCTGAGAACTTCCCGATTTCCAGCAGCCCCCGGGATGTGCCGAGCTGCCGTGGGGTGCCTGGTGCTCGGAGATCTTTTCCAGCCTCAGCAGCTCCAGGATTCTGTGATTCTCCTTCTCCTTTCCTGTCTCTTCTCAGCAGAGCTGAAGCCTCAGCACGCAGAGATTTTTCTGTGCACGTTTCTGATCCAAATCCTTGGGAAAACTGGAAAACTCAGGTGCCAGTGTGGGAGTGAGGTGGCCTCGAAGACAGCTCAGGGTAAAGCTGACTTGAAACCCCTTAATGATGAGAGTGGGAGTTTTTTGTGCTGCAAAACATCTTTGATATGAAGACTTTCCTGTTTGAAAGCTTCCTAGTAAACAAAAAGGGGTGAACTGCCTGAGTGAGTCATTGCAGGCAAAATCGGGGTTTTCAGAGCGCTGCTTTTCCCTATCCTTGTTTTAATTGGAGTTTTAATTATTCCTGCTGGATAACAGAGCTTGATAACAGCCCGGGGAAGGAGGAGGGAAGGTCATCAAGATAACTGTCCTGTTTTAATATTCCAGCATTCCTGCACAGAGCTTCCTCAGTGTGTGCTGGCCTGGCAGGGCTGGAGCTGCAGCACATCCTGCGAGATGCTATCACCAGATCCTGTAATTTTAGAAAAGCTTGGAGGGCAGGACAGCCTGGGGAGGGGAGGACGGAGTGGCTGCTGACAGTGATGGTGTCTTGTCCCTGCTCCAGAGGGATGGAGGGGATGTGCTGAATAAATCCCTGGAGATAAAACTGCTCTGCCATCCCAGAAATCCTGGGTGATATCGCTTTGCATCCCTTTTCTGCCAGGCAGGAGTTCTGCTCTACCCTGTGCTCTCAGCTGTCAGACAGACAGACAGATATACAGCCTGGGAACTGGATATTCCTGGATATTTCCAAGGTCTGGACAGTTTTGGAGGGTCTTTAACTGGAATTTTGAATTTCTTTTGAGCTGCAAACGTGTTAAACTTTATTTAATGCTGCAAAGGAAGATTTGTTTTAGTGTGAGCAGCGAGGTTGGAGCAGTGGAGCCACTGTGCTCTCACTGTTCCAATTCTGGGAATTTAGATGGGATTCATAAATGCTGGAATCTCCTCCTCTGAGCTCAGATTTTAGCCCTGGAAGGTCACTGATCCCTTCCCTGCTGCAAATGTCAGGAAGCCTCAGGATGCTCCCAGACACTGGCAGGGTTTTTCTCCTGGGGAAGGCAGGACCATCACAATCAGGGCAATGGCAGAGGTAGGCAAATACCCCCTAATTGTATGCAGATGACAGAGCTGCTTCGGCCTTTTGACTAGTGAAGCTTTCCTCAATTTGGGATATTGTGATCCTAATCAGGGACCTCTCCCGGACATCAAAGCCAGCCTTGATTGCTCGGCTTCCTGCTCCAGCCCATCCCTGCCCAGGTGTCTTTCCTGCTCTGGCCGACTGATTCCTTTCTGCTCTTCATCTCCGAGGCAAAGAAATTCAATCCCAATATTGCTGCCAGCCCTGGAATGGACGCAGTGATTTGGAAATGTCCCCTCTCGTTGTTCTGAAGTCCCAGGGCAGGGGATACCTGCTGGCCCAGCCTCTAACCTGAGGTGGGGCAGAGCTGTCAGCAGTGCAGCCAGCTGTGTTTGGGGCTGGCAGCTTCCTTCCCCTGCCCCTCTTTTGTTTCTTTAATTATTTTAATTGCATCTCCGTGTCCCCATCCCTGCTCCGTGTCCCCATCCCCAGCTGTGTGGCTCTGCTCCCTTTTCCACAGGCAGCAGAGGTGGCTTTGCCCGAGGGAAGCAGTTGGGTTTGGGTGTTAAAATTGTGAATCTTGCTGGGTTTTGTCTGTTATCCCAGGGACAGAGCCTGGCTTTTCCTATTGCTGCTTCCCAGGGATGCTGGAAGCGATGCCAGGAGCCCTGGGCTGCTCAGACCTGAGCAAAGGCTCAGCTGTGCCTGAGGCTTCTTCCTGGAAGGGGAATTTGGCATATTCCACAAGGATTTATGTCAGATTTTCAGTAAGCAGGCAGTGGAATGAGTCAGATCCATTGTGTTCCCTTGGGAACCACGCCTGGACCCGGGCTGTGGATGTGCCGTGGGTCTCAACCCCTGCAGTTTAACCACAGAAGTTGGCACCTTGAGACGCAAAACAAAGCAAAATAAAATAATTGTGACAGTATTTTTGCCCTTTTTTTTCCCCCAGGGGCTGATTAAAATCCGAGGAGATCGCTGCTGGAGAGAGTTAACTTGCATGGATTATCACTACGAGGTGAGTGATGTGCACACAAAACCTCATTTCTCTTGTCTGCTTTTCTTTTGTAAAACAATTTCCCCCAGCCTTTCCTCTCCTGCCAGGCAGCTCTCCATGTTTTCCCTCTTTATCCCAGCCTCTGGCACTCAGGCCATGTCCCTGTGCCAGCTGGGTGATGCTGTTTTTCCCAACCACAGTCCTAAAAGACCAATTTCTCTCCTTCCCTCCCCTCCCCATCGTGGATCCAGGAGCAAACCTGAGATTTACTGAGAACTTCCACTGTAAATCTGCTGCAGGGCAGGGAAAGGAGAACACAGAAAGGAGTTTTTTGTGGCACTGTTCCTGCTTACACCCCCCAAAAGTGGCCATCTGACAGAATCAGAGCATCCCTGTGCTCTCCAACATGCAGAGAAGATTCCTGGCAGTTCAGAACTCCCTGGGTTTATCTTTTTGACATCTGTTGCAGTGATTATGTTGCATTTTGATTATAAATTGGGGGTTTTTGCTGGCTCTGGGTTCATCTTCTCTCTGGTTACAGAGGCAGAATTGGCTCCCCTTCTCTCCTCACCTCTATTTTTGCATTTGAGTTTTATATAAATGGTGGTAAAAAGGAAAATGCTGCATCCAGTGATGATCCCAGGGGGAGAAGCTCTGGGTTGGTGAAGGGAATGGTCCTGAAGGAATATTCCCTTCCCTGGATTCACCTCACAGCCCCTGCAAGTTATAATGTCTCTGCTCTGGAATCTGTGGCCATCAAATATTTGGGAATACAAGTCTGATGAAGAGGAGCTGGGGAAGTGGCTCAGCCTGCAGAAAAGGGGGATCAGGGGGAATTCCTGGCTCTGCACAGCTCCTGCCAGGAGGGGACAGCCAGGGGGGTCGGGCTGTGCTCCAGGGAACAGGGACAGGAGCAGAGGGAACGGCCTCAGGCTGGGCCAGGGCAGGTTTAGGTTGGATATTTGGGAAAATTCCTTCCCTAAAAGGATGGTCAGGCATTGAAAGGGCTGCTCAGGAGTCTCCATCCCTGGAGGTGACCAAAACCCACGTGGATGTGGCACTTGAGGACATGGTGATGAACATGGCTGGTGTTGCTGTTGTTGATGATCTCAAAGGGCTTTTCCAACTTTAACAATTCCATAACTTTATGAACTAAGATTTTGCAGGTCCAAAAAAGCTGTTGTTTGCCTTCTCAGCTTTAAATCTCCTTTTCTGTGTCGCTCTGATTTACTTTCACTGGGGTTTTCCCCTCAGAGGGAGGCTGGGCCTGTCCAAAAGCTGCTGCTCCTTGGCTCTCACACAGCACCAAGGATCCAACTTCATCCCCACCAAAACCTGGGATGAAAAACCCCCTTCAGTGCTGTCCTGTAATGCTGAGCATGGGGGTGGCTGCAGTAAATTATCCCCTTTTCCAGGCACCTGGCAGCACTCGGGGAAAATGCAGCCAGCGCTGACCCCAGCCCACAACAATCAGCCCCAATAATCCCAGCGCTCCCAAATCAATCCCAGCATCAGTCCTGGAGCCCAGAGGGATAATTGAGACCATTCCTGTCAGATCCATAAAGCAGGATCCCCAGCCTGTGCAAGTAATTGGGACCAGGGGCAGGGGGCAGATCTCGTTATCAATATCAATTATTTTAATCCCCACTAAAGAGGCTGCAAGAAAAGGAAAATGAAAGGGGCCAAGCTTTGTCCACCAGCAGTAATGGAACAGAAATACCTAAAGGCTGGGATTCACCTGCTGATTCCAGCCAGAGGGAGGGAGAAAAGGGGGCAGCTGAAGGTACCTCTGGGAGGGAGGGAGTGAGCTGGGAATCTGCTCATAATTAGGATGATAAAAGTGAGGATTGGAGCAGGCTGGGGATGGATTTGGGCCAGATGGGTTGTGCTGAGATGTATGTTGGCCACCCCAGCTCTCCTGCTCCAGCATGAGCTGCATCCAAGATCTACATGGGCTCCTGTGCCAAGAGAATTAATGGAAACACATGGCCTCCATCCCTGCCTGGACTATTTATTTGTAGTAGGACCTGCAGCTCTGCCCGTGGAAAAGAACATTTCCACTTTTGTCAGGAGTTGTGGATGGGACAGTCCAGTGTGTTGTGGTTAAATGGGTCATTTTCCTTTCCTCCTTCCCTTCTGGTGTGCAGGGCCTTCATGCCAGCCTTGCTGGGGCTCTGCTCCTCACTGGGGGCTCTCTGTGCCATTTGGAGCGGGGAATGGCATGCTTGGCACAGGAGAGGGATTTTCCTACATGCCTGAGCCCCCTGGGTCCCTCAGGAGGAGATGGGCTCCAGGAAGTGTGGGAGAGAACTCAGGCTCTGCTGGAGCTGGAGAAGACTTTGCTGCAGCACCTGGAAACTGCCTGGGCTAAAGCTCAGGGGATTAATGGTGCCTGTGGGTGCCAGGAGCCCCAGACTCTAATCCCAGCCTGGCAAGACACCACAAACAGGGAATTTCACCTCCTTCTCCCTGGATTTCTGTGCTGTCCAGGCCAGGGGCTCCAAGGTGAGCATGTGGGTTGCACCTGGAGTGGCTGTGGGATGGGATCCCAGTCCCTGTGGTGTCCTGGAGCTTCACATGTCCACATCACCACATCCAAATGGACACACCTGGGTGGCTCCTGGCAGGAGAAGTGCTGGGATCTGCCATCCATGGGTTTATGCCTCCCTTTTTGCGGTTGCTGTTGTTTCACTGTGGTTAGAGGGCTCTTTGCCCTGCAAGAAATGCCAGGAAAAGGGAGTTTTCCCTCAGTGGAAGCTGTTCTGGTGCAGCTGCTGCAGGTGGAAGCTGCTCCGGGTCTCAGGTGTGCCTGGCATCAGGATTATTCAGATTTATCTGCTGTGCACACCAGGCTTGACAAATCCACGAGGATTTGTCCAGACTACAGTCTGGAGCTGGAATTCTGCTTCCATGGAGCCTCTGGCATGGATCCCACAGTGCCTGGGACATCCATCCCACCCTGATGGGATCTCAGGGGAGCAGAGGCAGCCTCAGGTCCCTGCCTGTGCAAGGGGGGACGTGGCTGAGCGTGTCCCCTGCCCCTGCCTGCCCCACAGGGATCATTCCCAGAGCCCAGCAGCTCCATCCCACAGCCACTCTGGGAAAATCTGCCTTGGGAGGTTCTGAGCCACTCCAGGCCCTTTCTGGAGCTCACAGGGCTGGGCTGGAGCTGCTTTCCAACCCCCTTAGGAGGCACCAGGATTGGGATTGGGATGGGGAAGCACCCACTCCCTCACCATTGCCTTGTTGCTGGCTTTATCTGGGAGTGCAGCCTGGCACAGGCACAGCAGAGCAAATCCCCTGGGGTGTGAGCCAGGAAAACCCCAGAGCCCTGCAGCTCCCAGCCCTGCAGAGCTCCCTGTGCCCAGGGCTCCTGGCACGGAGCAGCTTTGGTGGCACAGGCCACCAAACATGGACATTTGTGACCCCAAATACTCCACAAGCAGCCTTTGGATGCAGGTGGAGGTTTTGACAGAGCAATTCAGATAATCAAAGGGGTTTTGGGATGGGCAGGTCCTGCCTGGTCTCGTCTCTCCTGTCCCACTCGGGGTGGGATGCAATCCACTGATGCATTTTTCCTGCTGGCTGCCAAACTGCTGCTGCTGCTTTTTAATTCCAGACAGATATCTTGGAAAATTCAGCCACCAACTGGTGGGAACAGCTGTGGGAGCAGCTGCTGGGGCAGGAGCCCTGCTGGGCACCGAAGCCACGCCGAGGACACAGCCACGGGTCCCTCCTGAGGGACCTCACTGACCTGTCCGAGGACAGGGGGACATGGAGGGGCTGGAGCGTGGCCAGGGAGGGGAATGGAGCACCAGGAGGGGCTGAGGGAGCTGGGGAAGGGGCTCAGCCTGCAGAAAAGGGGGAGCAGGAGGAATTTTTGGCTCTGCACAGCTCCTGCCAGGAGGGGACAGCCGGGGTGGTCGGGCTGTGCTCCAGGGAACAGGGACAGGAGCAGAGGGAACGGCCTCAGGCTGGGCCAGGGCAGGTTTAGGTTGGATTTTTGGGAAAATCCTTCCCTAAAAGGGTGGTCAGGCATTGGAGGGGCTGCTCAGGGCAGTGGTGGAGTCCCCATCCCTGGAGGTGACCAAAACCCACGTGGATGTGGCACTTGGGGACATGGGCCAGTGGTGACCGTGGTGCTGCTGGGAAGGGTTGGACTCGATTTCCTTAAAGGTCTTTTCCAACCTGAATTGATTTGAAGGCAAATGAATAAAAGGAAAGCAAAATAAAGCCAGCTCCTGGAGCACCAAGCCTTGGTCAGAGCTGGAAGTGAGATCAAGGATTTGCTTTGCTCCTGCAGGAGCTCAGGATGGGTTGGTCACCACAAAGCAGCAAAGTCTGGAGGATTTCACTGAACTCTGCTGAATCCCAGCCCCAAAATGTCCCTGTTCGAGCTCCAAAAGTGTCGCTGCCGCTGAGAAAAGCTTCGCTCTGTCCCCAAGACCCTGCACAGCCACAGAGGCCACTCCTGGAGGGGACAAATTGTCCCTAATGGCTGTGGCAGTGCTGTTCCCAAGCAGAGGCTGTCAGTCAGAGCTCCAGCTCCTGGAGAAGCTCTGGATGGAGCACAATGGCTTTTGTGCCTAATTAGGCCTTGCTGACTGATAGCTGTGCTGATAAGGGCGATAAGGAAGCTCAAACTGCTCCTTAACTGCCTCTTCATTCCTTTTCTGCCTCCTCTCGCCTGGATTAGACCTCGTTAAGCTTTTCATCCAGCTTTTTCCGAGCCATTATGAAACGAAAAGTAAATAATATTTAGCAATCTGTTGGGATGAATCAGAAAATGAGCTGCTTTTATGAGCCCGGATGGCTCAGGGTGGGCTTCGTTCCAACAGTTTGCATGGCTGGAAGGGAAAATGTTCCTAGCAGGGAAAGCAGGTGCTCGGATTTCGTGCTGAAAATTCTAAAGTTGCAAATTCAGACGAGGGAAGCGGTGCTGAATTAAACAGAAAACAATAATTATTAAAGGAAGTCACCATGTAAATAATTTTGGGGTTTTTTTTTGTTGGTAACATTAA